GCTTTACCCTACTTTCACATTAAAGACGAGACGAGACAAGAAAACGCTTGGTATCAACACAAAATCGACGAAGACGCGATGATGCATCGCTAGATAATCTTCAAAACACTATACTATAATTAACTGTCGCAAAATACACCGCAATATGCGTTTTAACAATTAAATATAACATCCATTAAATCCCGAGGGTAATAATAAGCGCGAGATTATTTTCGAGCATTTTTTAGATTTTCGCGAGTTCGATTTTCCCAACGAGACACTCAATTCACTTATGCAGATTGCATTATAAAAAAAAAAAAAAAAAAAAAANATCAGATAAAAAAAAAAAAAAAATAACTAAAGACAAAGTATAAAGAATTTTGTAATATATAACTTAACACACTATATTTTCGCGAGTTCGATTTTCCCAACGAGACACTCAATTCACTTATGCAGATTGCATTAAAAAAAAAAAAAAAAAAAAAAAAGTAATAATAACTAATGCACGAAAAGCTCGGAGTAAGAAATACATAATTTAAGAGCGCTCTGCATAATTTACACGTACGAGACTTTGTACTCTTAGGATGCAAAATATAAATCGGTAACGATGATTCACTTGTCTGTACGTTTAAGGAACTTGTCGGAATTAATAATAAAATGCAAGAATTTCTAGAAAAAAAATCTCGATACGGTAATTACCCTTTAAAATATTTCGCTTCAACTTCTGCGCCAGCCAACACGGGATGTACCTTTTTTTTTTTTTTTTTTTTTTTTTCAAGAAACGTTCCAATGCACGAAGAGGAAAAATTTTTATATGCTCGTTTGTTGCTCAAACTTTGCACATCGCGATAGCGCGCGTGCGTTTCTTTTCCCGCATCGGTTCATGCCGCGAGCGCGATTAATACGTACTACTACGATCCCCGTGTGTGCGAACACACACGTTCGAGAACTACACGGCGGAATTGTTTTCCTTCACGGCGTAATTTATGTGGCAAGAAACTACGGGAGGAAAAGTGAAAGAACTTCCTTGTTCCCGCGCGCGCGCAATAATTGATCGCGGATGTAAACCTCGCGATTGTCGGGATGTGATCATCGATGTGTTTGTTGTTTAATTTAAACACAACAAGTCTCACTTTCACCCGGGCGCGTGTGTGTCTAGTCGTGATTTCCTGCGATCAGCCAATTATCGCGTGAGAGCTTTTCAAGCGTGCGCGGCGCGGTTCTTTAACGCGTCTCGGATATATTAAATCGCTAATTTCTGACGTGCGTTCGAAAGCGATTTCTCTCGCGAACAAAGACTTAACGAGTAATTCCACGCGGAACTATGCGTCTTATTTTTCGTCGAGAAAAAGATTAAATTTTATTGTACCATGTCTCTATTCTCGCGCGATTTTCCGGACAAAAAAAAAAAAAAAATTACTCGACAATTGTCTGATTTTCCCGAGTGTTGCGAGAGATGAGAAAATTACTAATTATTAAATTACTTCAATAGCGCTAATTTCACAAAAGGGATTGGATTATTGCGTAAGCCTCTTAATGTTTCTTGCTTGCCGCGATATTGTGAAGGAAACAAAAGCTATTCAAATTTTCAAAAGCGGATTCGAGAGAAAAAACATTTGAAAAATAGATCAACACGACTAACCGATTTTTCGCGAAATATTCAAAGTTGCAGAACAAAAAGTTCGGCCTCAAACTTTTCTCGAGTCTTGATAAAATTTTCTGAGAAAATTTTCTGATTTTTAGAGGTAGAAATAACTTCTACACAAAAATTTCAGGATGTTTTTCTCAAGTTTTTCCATATGGCGGACGTTCTGAAAATGCAATTTTTCTTTGTAAATATCTCTCTCCTGTTTATCCTTTATCAAAATATATAAATAATTTTCTTCGTCGAGAAAAATCTGTCCGAGAATAATCCGATCGAACGCGTTTTTCTCAAAACTCGCGCCTGTTCTGCAGGCAGGCAAAGTTACGCTTGCATCGGAGGGAGGCTTTTCCTTCGTGCTCTGATGCACCTTTACAGTCATCGGCAATGCACAAAACGCGACTGTACGCGCCTGTTAACACATCTCTCCGTGTGTATGTGTGTGTGTGTGTACGCGACTCGTATTTTCAGCAATTCGCTTTCCACGTGACGGGGCAACGGCCGAAAGCGCGCGCGCGCACGATCGATGAGCGAGCGAGATTCAGTGAAAATCTGTGCCACCCCGTAGAGGGATGGCCTGCCGTAGAGTTTAGCCGCCACTTTTTGGCACGGATTTCCGTGCCAAGCGACGTGTGAGGAGAGAGGGAACGAGAGAGATTGTCTAACGGACACAAAACGATTATCTTCACGCTCGGGTTGGCGTTGCGCGCGCGATCGATGCTCGCGATCGCGGGAAAATAATGCGACCAGATTGTGTCGGTTGGCCACACGTCGGTTGGCAAAATCCTCCCGACTTAGATCGCCCAATCATCCGAATCCGCGGCTTCTCGCAAACGGCATCTTTTTCTGGCATCGCGCTGCTGAAACAAACGAGTTGTCTTTCCGCTCTACGTGTTACTCTGCGTTGCGCGAGCTGTCTCGCTAATGACACACACCGTGTGTTGTCAAATCACTCGCGTTCGTCGCGTGGATTATTTGGACGTTCTTCAGAATCAAAGAGTGTCATGTTACCGACAACAAACTCTCGAGAGAATATACGCAAATCGAGCGAATTACGCGCGAACGACACTCGATAGTTCCGTCGAAGACAAATGGTCGTTTTGCAATTGTTTTTTTTGTCTTCGTTAAATGTTTCGATAATCGTTCGATCGTACGTACAATACACAAATGATAAAACAACAAAGCGTGTAATTTGACAGAAACAGACACGTGTTGTGTTCTCTCGTCATCGTGTGATAACGACGTGTTTGCGCGCTGCTCAAAGAACTTCTTGCGGAAAATATTTTGATCCCAACGCGCTTGGGAATTACAATTTGCCCCCGGGGTTCTCGACGCTGCGTGAACTTTTTCTTGGCGAGTTTCTCTCAATTTTTCCGCCACATTAATACGGTCCGGAAAATTGAGGTCCATTCCGCTTTCTTCTGGGTTTTTGACTCGCTCTTTCTCTCTCTGACGTCGAAGACAGACCGACGTTCTTTCAAAGCGAGCGTCCTCGTCGTTATAAACCGCGGCTTGAAAGGACATCCGGTAACGGTCCGGGACAGCGCGCGCGTAAATCCGACAATGTCGCCGACCGTTTCTCGCCAGCTGGCTTTCGGAGGGAGTTGGCGAACTTTAAAAATGGATCCCGCGAGCGCGCGCTCCTCCTTTTTATTCCTCTTTTTTTTTTTTTGTTGGAATTACGCGCTATCGACGTGCGAGTCCCGCTTACTAGTTTTCGGGTTCGCAGGTGACGACAGATTTGCGACTTCCTGCCTGTCTCAGGAGAAAGAGGGTTTCTTGGGCGAAGAGTAGCGGTCTTTCGAATTGATTTTCTTCTCTCGTTGTACGAAATCGCCGCTGTTCCTTTACTCGTCGACGATTCGGCGCGGCCATAAATTCCACCCAACTTCTAACCATCCGCACGGAAAGCTTTCTTCGTTAATGCCTCCGCGAGCGGCTTTTTTCCTTCTCCTGTGTTCGTTTTCTTTCTCTCTCTCTCTCTCTCTCTTTATCTCCGACCTCTTTTATTGCCCTTTTTCCTACCTCCGATTACCCGCGACCTTTGCGTTTCCTACGAAATTTCCACGACGCGCCTATTAGAGGCAGTTAATTCCGTCCGCACGCTATTTCATCGTAGTTTTCAATTTGCAGGAAGTGAATGAATCGTTCATCGGCTTCCGCGCGCGCGAAGATAAAATTACAACTGCTCGCGTTACAACGTCAATTTGCTATTATTTTTGTCGAAGATTCACGAGAAGAAAGTTGAACGAGCAATTTCATTTGTTTGGTTTCTTAACCTCGAGGACGTAGCAAACGACGCGCGACTATTTTAAGCAGACGTAATAATTCGATTTGTTTTGTTTTGTTTTTTTTTTTTTTTTTGAGTGAAATATAACGACGCAGCGACTTAAAATCGTCAAATATGTCAGATATGCCAAATTCGAATTATCAAACTCTCTGGCGCGCAACCGATATTCAATTATCTGTATTTTATCTCGCTCCGCGGACAGAGCAGTGACACATTTCACTGACGATCAAAATTCTCGACAAAGGTGGTCTGTGCATTATGCACGCCGTTTGTTCAACTGACAATTGAGCCATCGGTAAACACGTACGCACGCACGCACGCACACACACACACGCGATTCACAAACATTCGCGACATACAAATCCTCGATTTCACGCTGCGAGCGGATATTTATGCGCGCTGTTGCCGAAGCGCGGAAAGATCTCGCGCGCATATCCGGTGACAAGGAGAGAGAGGGAGAATCAATTTTATTTATTTTTTTTTGTGTTTTGTTTTTTAACTCCTCTCTTTTATTTTAAAACTGCGAACAAAGTCAAAACCATTGCCGCTGGATCAAACGCAATATAAATTTTCATTTGTATCAGAATATTAAATTTTCGGTGCAATTAAGTTATTGCGCTCTTTTCATCACGCGAATGTTCTAGAACAACTAATGAACGCTTAGCAATTAAAAATGCCGTGAAATCGCTTTCGAATTACTTACAAGGCCAACACACACACACACACACATCCACACATATCTGCTATTTTTATTTGTCAGGCGATACAACTTTCAACATCGAACGAAAGTTGCAAAACAACAAAAAATAGACAACTGCGAGCAAATACAGCGGTGTGTCAAAGTTCGAAACGTATTTTTGGACGAATCTTCTACTGTTCCAGCTTATGAACCGAGGGCACTCAATATTCATCAGAGCGGAATATCGCGTGGGTGCAAGAGATGTGCTCGCGCGCGCGCGCGCGCGCGAGCGCAAAAGCAAATACAAATATACCATATTCAACGCCCGATATATATTTTCGGGATGTATGAGTGTTTGCCGTGGATATACACACATACCGGGCGATATATTTCGAAATGCATGTACGTACCACCTCCTCTTCTTCCTCCTCCTCCTCCTCGTCGTGTGTGCCTCCGCACGAACGGAAGTCGACCGCGTCGTATCCGCGTCGTTGCATCGATGAATGCGAAAACGCGCACCTCGCGACGAGAGAGTCCCGCGGCGTTAAGAGGTTTTGAGAAACTCACAATCGGCTGCGATACAAACGCGCGCAAAACCCGCACGTTAGGCTTTGGGACGCGCGGGATACAACCTCGACGACGACGAGTTCTGCACATCGAATTCCGCGTGCACGCGTCACGTGTCGCATTAGAAGCGTTACAAGTTACCGGCTTTAGCTCGCTGCTTGTTTTCCCCTTCCCTCTCCTCTCCTTCTCCCGTTACCCCACTTGATCTGGTTTCGACCTCGTCTCTTCCTTTTGCGATTATCGCAAGAGACTCTCTCGATAACGAGAGATTCGATCGACGCGCGGCGAAAGTCCGCTCGCTCGCGTGTGTATTTACGTATGCGAATTCTATTTTTTTCCACACACAACACACATATCTGGTGATTTTCGATAATAAGACTTTTGCATTACCAAGAAGAGAGCGAAAGTTCCAGTTCAAATGATTGGAAACGCGAAGTTACGCCGTTTTCGAGCAATCTATCAATCTCGCGAGTTGTGATTTGTGCGATCGCGGTCGTCGCGGAAGCGCATCAACGTTTATCTCGAGAAATCGTGTTTTTTTCCGTAGATAATTTATTACGTACGTACTTTGCGCGCTTGTTTCGAAAAATAGGTATTGCACGCGAGATGTTACGGAAAAAAAACATACACACACACACACACACACGTTTCGCTCTCGCGCGAAAGAGTCTGGTTCTAAATCCACGGATCCTTGATTCTGGGACGAGGCTAAGTTGCAACGAGGGCGACTACTCCGCAACAACCGTCACGAATCTCTCAGTCGTCGCCTTTCACAAGTGCGACGGTTATTATTATCGATTTCGATCGGTGTGGATTTCCGACTAGGAACAATGGCGCACACCGAGATAACAGCAATCTCGCGCTCGCCGTGCTGCCAGACCGCGCGCGACAAGAATAAAATCACAAAAAAACATTCTATCGAAGTCAATCAATTCGCTCTCCGGTCAATTTTTTATTATCGCTCACGTGGGAACAAAGGTAAAAGCAAAATATTTGATAAAACACAATTTTCTACGCATCGCGGATATGTCAAATAAAATTATTTCTAGTTTAGTTACAATTATTTCTTTGCGACTAAATTATCTATTTTTATTAAAAATTATTTGTTAATTGTTTTATTTGATCATTTCTCGTCCGGTATGTTGCGGTTTTTTTTTTCGAAGTGACGAGTTCAACACATTTGTTTGCAATTGCGAATGCAAATTGAGAGAACGCCAGAGCTTACAAAGTTTCTATCGCAATACACAAGACACACACACACATGGTTGGTTAAAGACTAGAAATAATCTTGTTTAGCGACTTACAACACCCACGTCCCCCGTCTTTTCCGGGTCTTTTTTTTGTATCTTTCACCACATAATTGATCCCAGGGTCTCAAGTTACTTTGTTTTCGTTTCTCTACCGTTGTGTTATTCTACATTATGTGTGAGATCGTATAATAGAGTTGAAGACACAGACCGGCGCATTGTGTTAGGTTGGCTTTATCAATTAAGAAAACGACGACGACAACGACGACGACGACGTTGCGAGATACCAGCAGCGGCTCGTAACCAATTAGACTCATTCTTGCAACACACCGACGCGATATCGAAAGTCTTTGTCTGCTCTCCCTCCCTTCCTTCGCTGTAGGTAATTCCTTTCTCCGCGTTGCGCTCTTTTTCTCACGCGTCCGTTATAATAAACGTTACGTTTTCTCTCGTCCCGCGCAGATAAACGACAGAGTGCGCGCGCGCGCATCTCGCACGTAATCCGATTCTCGCGAATCGGTGTCTTATCGTTTCGCGTTTTATTATACGAGAGAGAGAGAGAGAGAGAGAGAGAGAGAGAGAGAGAGAGAGAGAGAGAGAGAGAGAGAGAATCAAACATCAATTTGCGAACATGTTGTCCCCGATAAACGGCAAACTTTCTGTCGGTTACGCTCATTCATCACCGACGAATAACCTCGCTCGCTTTGTCATTGCGCGCAAAAAGTTTACAGCCTCCGACGAAGCCGCAACCGCAAATGACCGAATAAAGATAAAAAAAAAACAAAACAAAAAAAATTTTCTTCTTACAACCACGTCAGAGTCTCGTTCCGATTGAACTTTCGCGTGAAATAACAGAAACTAATTTATTCCGCAGCCTCTGGGGCAAGAGATGCGGCTAATCGATCGACTCTGGCGATAAATCGGGAGACGACGCAATCGCGCAAATTAAAACGTCACAAAATTGAGACACGATGTGTGTGTTTGTCGCGAGAATATAAGATTTATAAATAAAACGCATTCATTATTCTTCTCGCTTGAAATAGAACTTGCGAATTACCTCATTCTTTTTTCCTAACTCTGTGATCTTCTCAGTTACCCGATATTTACACCGTTTTCTCGAAATGGGAAAAAGCGAAATTTACTCTTTTCGCAATTTTTCCCTTTATCTCGACTCCATCTTATCGGAGGCATTTTTTTACGGTCGGAACGTCCGAGAGAGCTACCCGTAATTGCTCGACGATATACCGGAGACGATATTCGCGGCGCGAATTATTTGCGGACAGGTTGCCGCCGGAGGGTTCGGCACCTGCTCATCGCGTGTAAAGTAGATCGGCAACGGGACGGGGCCAATCGGATACGCGGCTATCGCAACGGTTTCCGCACAGAGAGCCGAACCTGATGCAATCACTCGTGTATGTAGCAAGCATATCCCTCGTCGATGTTTGTTTAACGCAGTTACCGTGAAATACGCGGAATCCTCTCTCGTTCCTCGCTGTGTTCCGTCACTCTCCCTGTCTCTCTCTCTCTCTCTCTCGCAATTGCGTTTACAGCGCATTTACATACTTCTGTGCGAGCCGTCCATATCGTTCGCCTCACAAATACGTACGCGCGTACCTTGAACGCACACGCAAATAAATTTTTACCGCGTGTTTATTCGATCTATCTATCGCGATGCGAAAATAGTTTTATGGTTATTTATCACGGGAACCGCAACGTAAAGTCCGAAAGATTTACGACGATCGACGAGAACGTCCGTCGAAGTATCGGAAACGCTCTTGCGCTCGCGCGCATTACGATTTCACTCCCATTCATACGTAAGTCGCGAAAATTCCTTTGCGTCGCGCGAGAAACGGAAATCCGCACCTGCGACCGCGCCGGAAATCGAGCGCACGTGCGCGTTCGATTGTCGTCGATCCGCACGAATGAAATCTCGAGGAAATGCGGAGGAGCGTCGCTATGCATTTCATTAGCGAAAACGTCCGCTCGGGGGAAAAATATTCCGTGCGACGCTAATGTTGTGTGTCAATCGCTCGTAGAAGTTCGATTTTCGAGGAAAACACACGCGCCGCTTCTTAGTTCGCTAATAAAAATGTGTAAAATTTGATTATTAATCAATCTATAATTTCTTAGGATTTAAAATTGCTCCGAAACTTCGTTCATCTCTTCTTCATCTCGTTTTACTTAAACTGCTGTAATTGGTTTTTACGCAGTAAAAGTTTACTGTTGTATAAATTTATTATTATAAAGCGTTCCGGATTTGCGGCACATTTTACGTCTCGACGCGCGTTTTCCAACTTCTTTTTCGCCAAAAAAAAAAAAACGGCAAATATCTGCAGGTAAGTGCTCGGGAAACAGAGTGTAAATCACGATTACGCGTATCGCACGCACTCTAACTCGCGTTAAAAAAAAAAAAAAAAGAGAAAAAGAACTACGAGAAAGAACACGACGAGAGTGCAAGCTCTCGAGAAATGGGCCGCGCGAGTCACCGCGCGCGGAGAAAACGGCGAGATTCCGATTATTAACTTCTCTCTTCCCGTTTTTTTCTCCGACTTTTCGCACGACCGCGTGCCGATCGGCAACAGCCTTGGCCGCGGACAAAAGACAACGATATACACGACGCACCGCGTGTTCGCCTTGAATAATAAATTATTGCGCGCGAAAAGATCCGGACGTGACTCACACCCGCTCTTTTCCCTTCCGAATAAAAAAAAAAAACAAAAAAAAAAAAAAAACGCCGACAACGCGTCTCCGGACGCAACGTCGCCGCGAGCGTTTCTTCTCGGACGATGGATTGTTTCTATCTCGAGCTGATTCGGTCGACGCAAGGTCGTTGAAAAAACATTCGAAAACGATTGAATTCGCAAATCTCCGTCCATAAATTGCAAATGAACTTCTCGGCAAGTTCATTAGCGGCGAACGCTAATGAACTTAAATCTTAATGTCTCCCGACGATATTGAGACTCGATGGGAAGAAAATAACGTTCACTCAACTTTCTATACTTTCTTGCGATTTTTCTGTCCCCTTTTCGATTGTGTATTCAAACACGATATTCAGCGGGTACACGTGCAATTTCCTGCCGCGAAGAAACGTGCGAAAAAAAAAAGAAGCAAAGATAAAGGGATCGCGTTGTGTGTTTGTAACAATCTCGAAATTTAAGTCGCCCGTTAATTTGCAATGTTAAGTGTCCTTCCGCGAGGGGAATAACAACTTGCCGCGAGAGCAATAAACGCACTTGGTACGTACTCGGGGGAAAACACACACAGACCGCGGTAAGAAACGCCGGATCTCAACAGAAAAGAAGCAAAGAAAGAGAGCCGCGACTTGTTACAAGAACCGTTCTTTTTTGCCGTTTCACACATACACACACACGCGCGCGCGTATATTTCCCTCGCGGAAATTGCGCGATTTTCGTGAAAATTTAAAATCTCAGTCGCGCATCTTTTCTCGTTACCTACAAACGCAATTAATATATATATATATATACATATACGTAACCCCGATATATTCCAACGTAAAACTTCAATATGTTAATTTGCGCGCGGAAAGTTGGTGCTAAGAGTTAAAGACGATAACGGGGCAACGAAGAAAATAAGAAGAAGCCGCGTCTAAAAAGCGGAAAGTATATCGCGTGGACGGTTGCAATCAGAGTGAGAAATGATAAAAAAAAACAAAACAAAAAAAAAATCTCTCCGAGATACTCGATAGAAAGAAAGAGAAGAAAGTTCGCGTTTCGAAATTTATACTGCAAATATATACGCGTTTGTATATTTGCGCACAAGTTGAAAGTCTATATCGGAGAAATTTTTTTCTGCGGCAATTTAATTTTCATCCGCTTGTTTGTCATCGATTCGCGCGAGAAGAAACGACACGCGAGAATAAATCGTTTCTCATACGAGGACCTCGTATCTCGGTTTAATTAAACACACTTTTGCGAAGACGCGATCCCTCTTCCTCCTTCCCCCGTAACCTCCGACTTAAAGGTTAAACGCGCAACGGGGTTACGCTCTCGTTGCGCGCTCCTTTGTTGTCGCACGCGGCTCGTATAATCGCGCGCCGCGATACGCACGACGCGGAGAATCATCCAGCGGAAGTGTTCGCGAAACCGTTATCGCGAAACAAGACTCAAAGAAAAGGAAACGATCCCGCGAGCTCTTCGTTCCCGCGGCGACTGGTAAGTATGTGCTCGCGAGAGCCGCGGAAAATCCGTCAGCGGCTTCGAACAAAAGCGCAAAAGACGGCAAGAAAAATACGGCGACTGCATAACTGTTTTTTTTTGTTTTTTTTGTTTTTCGTTAAAGCGAGACGCTGAGAGCGTGACTAATAAATTCCGCTGCTATTGTCGAGACTCATCGACGCCTCGGAAAAACACGTGCGAGCGTTACGAGCAAACATTTACGCAGCGAGTACTTGCTCTCGGTATTGCGCGAGGATTACCCCGGCTCTCTGAAATTCTGATGTACACGAAGCGCGCGATGTTGAACGACGACAACGACGACGACGGAGAGATGGATGTGTTGCCAAAGGAATTTAACACCCGTGAATTTTGTCGGTTTGCAAAAATTTTTATTTAATTTAATATATTTCCCGTCTTTTTTTCTCCGGGAACAAAATTTTTCGCGAAAAGATTATTATTATATTTCGGCAGATTTCGTTGTCGCGGATTCATATAAAACGCGACGTGCGTTAATTCTCGCCATATCCGACGGGATAAAAAAGCCTGTGTGTATTTTTATATAATACATTGCAAAATACTTTCTGATCGCGTGTTTACACATTCGCTCGCGCGCGCACGTGCACGGTAAATTAAATATCGCGTACAAATATACGTACAAATATACGTACAATACTTATTATTTTTTTGTTAAATAATGTTTTTTTCTAAAAATAACAGTAAAAAACGCGCGGAAAATAACAAACGATAATGTTGACACATTTGCGCGAACAAGACGTAACGCAGAAAAAAATGTTTGTATATATATTCGACGATTTGCACAGGTCGATGCGTGGTAATTTTCCTCGTTTTCGTGATGAGGCATTTTTAATCGCGAATGATTAGGTTTTTTATACAAAGCTCGAAGACGCGAGCGAGCGAGCGAGCGAGCGAGAAAGCGTCAGCAACACGCGCGGCGTTTTATTGCGAAGTCACTCAAGGTGGACTTCCGAACCTTTTATGAAAGATGAAAGATTCATCTCTGATACTTTAATTGCATCTACGATATCTAACGTGAGGGAAGAGCAAAGCCTTTAATTCCGTGAATATTGCATTAAGGAGTCGTCGACCGATGCACGCGACGGAGAGAGAAAGAGGAAGAGGAAGAAGAAGAAAGAGAGAGAGAGAAGAAACGACATCGATGCGCGCGTGCAAGAAGCATTATTGTTATCCATCGCGAATCTAGCCTGTGATCAAACACAATAAGCCCTCCCTCTTTCGAGAGGGGGAAATATTAATTTCTGAAAGTATATGATAATGGAGAGAAATCCGGGGCCTGGCTTTTCCTTTTGACGTCACGACAACGCCTCGGCAATTCTACCGTGTCGGAAAACTCGACCGCGAGAACAAAGGCGGGGAAAAACTGATCGAACTTCGATCGCGCGCCCGATATATCGGAAAAATGTCGAAGATCGTTCGTAAGGGAACGGCGGTTCGACTTTTATCCTCGAGATTCCTTGGCTAAACTACTTTCGGAAGAGAACGACGATGTATATATATTTTATTTTTCGTATTTCAACCGAATCTATATGCGCCTCCAGTTCTAAATAAAATTTTTGCGTTTCGAGTGGTAATAGCGAAATATTCGAGATGTGCTTTCGCGCGCGCACACACACACATACACACGCGCGCGCGTTATTTATACCGAATAATTTTATGTAAACTCGTTGAGTTCCATTAACGTTCGCAGAAATTCGCGGAGCGTAATCCCGATTGAGATAATGCGTTCGATAAAAATGGCTCTCTCTCTCTCTCTCTCTCACACGCCAAGTCGAGAGAGAAAATGCGAGCGCAATGAGATGAATTCAAATTAAATTCTACGAGAGATTACTACGATTATGTAGTTTCCGCGTCGATCGTCAATTTCGCTTTATCTCACAGAGGCTCAAAGATCGACTTGATAATTGCGACGAGACATCGGTCGTTTTTTTGTCGCCCTTTTTTTGCACACAAATACCGCGAACTCGTTCAACACGCAACATCATTTTTTTTTTTTACCTCGTATCGAGTGCGCGATTATTATTTACGCGATCATTTAAATCTTCCGGGAACTACGCTCCTTTTCGCGGAACTGATAACCCGCTGCAAATTAAATTGGATTTCTTTTTATCTTTTTTTTCTTTTCTTTTTTCTTTTTTTTTTTTTACAACAGCTCCGACTTTTACCGAACACGCGAATCTCGCGGTCACCTCAAAAATTCTCATTCGATCTCGTCGTCCGAACAATTCCGTTTCCCACATTCCGAACGAGTATCGTCGCGAGTCGAGACGAAATTGACAAGAAATCGTCAATTAAATTCGCTGATGAATCGCAATCGGGAGAATCTCCGCTGTGCGATTCAACGCCGAACGCGAGGAAACGTCACACTTCGCACGCAGCCAGCGTATCGCGCGCGAAGACTCGCGTACATAATCTCTCATTATACGCGATAACGACGGATGCAAAGTCGCATGACGGAAAAACAAGTGTGTCTCTCCTCTCCCTGTCTCTCTCTCTTTCGTTCTCAGGGAATCGTACTTAATCATTGGCGTTAAGTGGACACGACGATACGTATTACACGTACCGCTGGAACAACGGGCGTAACACGGGAGAAGGAAGGGAAGAAACGAGAGCTGGAAGGAGGGGATGTAATGACAGAGCCGCGGTATGGAGGAGTGCGTAGGACGTGTTTCGCGTTACGAAACGCATACAGGCCTGAGGAGAGAAAGAGAGCGAGAAAACACACCAAGGTCCGGTCCGCATTTAGCGTCGTCGTTTTACGAAGCGCTAAATACCCGCGAGAGATTCCGAGAGATTTTTTTTTTTTTTTTTTGCTTTCATTCGTCGTCGTTAATGAGGATCAATGTCGCGAAGGGGAGGAGAGCGAAGGACGCGCGAAGCTCTCGCGCGCGCGTTAAAAACGCCCGAGCAAACATACGCGCAAAAACACAAAAGAAAAAAAATGACAGGGAAGTTACGCACACGAGAAAAATTACGTACGTTATTCGCGTACGACAATAGTAGCGACGGACGGACTTATCGGTGGTCAAAACGGCCTACGCGCGACACCGCCGATAAAAACAAACAACCGAGTGACATTTGTTCGATACCCGCGTCTCGAAAATCAGTTGTCAGAAATACATCACGGATGTATTTTTCTCTTTCTCTCTCTCTCTCTCTCTCTCTCTCTAATCATTTTTTTATTCCACACACTTTTCGCGTTTTCTACTCTCATTATTGTCCCTGCAGAGGATGGGAGAGGGCGGGGGCGACACTGCGTTCGCGATGTCAAGGTGACGCGCCGGGAGACGCGGACGCGATGCAAATGCGCGTGGGAGTAGATGCAATTGGTATTTTGGAGTCGGAAATAATCGATATTTCGGTTTACAAACAAGAGTGGCTAGTTGCGGTCCTCTCCTCTCTCTTTCTTATTTTTTTTTTGTCCCAATTTTCCATCGCAAGCACGATTTTTATGTGCCTCTAAGGAAATACACATGTACGTATAAATCTTTCGCACGAGAAACGCTATCGTCGAGTAGCGAAGACTCCTCGCAGGGAATTTTATATGCGAGGGGGAAGGTTGACAGATTTGCGGTATGTCACGTTCGACACATATCCCGCAGTTTTCCGACGATGTCACGACGCAAAAGGCTACGGGTCGGTAGGACGCGCGAAGGGAGAAGAGGAGAGAGCAGGAGGAAATGCAGAAGTAGAAGGCGGGTAGGGGGAGGAGATTGCAGGGGAGGCGTAGGAGAAGGAGGCGAGGAAAGAAGGCGAGAGATACTCTTCCTCCCGTTCTCGCGGAGCAGGAACGATACATGAGGGAAAAAAGGGAGAGAGAGAGAGAAAGAGAAAAAGAGAGTAAGAGAGAGCGAGCGATCGAGAGGGTGCGGTAGACACGTCAAACGAGGTACCGATGACAAGAGATGCGTACGCGCGAAGAGAAAGAGAGAGAGAAAAAAGGGAGAAGAAAGAAAGACCGATGACATAATGCGATACACAAAAAAAACGAGAGTAAAAAAGTGAAATTACCTTGTCCGAGGGTATGGTGCGCACCGTAGTCATCGTAACTGAAGGCCAGCAGGCGGCCCTTTGCGGATAATCCAGGGTAATTGGCGGGGTCCGTGGTCCCGACGACGACGTCGGGCGTCTCGCGACGTCCACCGACGACGACGAGGACGACGGCGATGGCACAGTCGTCTGGGACGACAGAGTCGACGATAAAACTGGAGTCAGAAGGGCGGGAGAGAGAGTGGAGACGATGTGTAGTCGCGGATATCCCCGCGGATGCACTTTCCCCCGCCGAGATGAGAGACACCGAGGGGACGACCGAGCGGATGAAAACACACTCTATTTTTTTTCTTCTTTTATTTTTAAATTATTTCTCGCTGTTTTCACGCAGCAGGGGTCCACCTCTCGCGCGCGCGCTATGCACTACAACACCATTTCGATGGGGGGCCGCGTTCTCGTTGTTGATCTTGTGTGGCCCTCGGCACCGAGACCGACACCCCGGCTCGTCGAATCGAGCGCTTCGCCGCCGATGGCCGCCGTTACTTGTACGCGTCCGGGCCGGGCCGTCGTACGGGCAGCAGCATGTTGAGAGACGCCGTTGTCGTACCGCCGCAAACCGCGCCAGGCACCAGAATGAAAAACCGAACCGCAAGACGAACGGACGGGAACTCGCTCCTCTATACCTTGTGTGCCCTTTGGCCTGTGTGCCGACACACCGCACCGCACCGCACGCACAGCAGCACGCACGCACGCACGCACCCGTGTCACCCGTCCCGTGACAGTGCCAAACACATAAAATGGCGAATCTCGGCGCTGCTGGAGCAAAGCCCACGGCCTTCGTGAGCGAGAGCGAGCGAGCGAGAGCGTCGCGGAGACTGCGCGGTCGGATAGACGGTCGAACTCGATGACGCCCGACTTGCGACGAGCGCGAACGAACATGGCGGGCCGGCGCTTCGGCGAGCGCGCGCACGAGCGCCGCACGCGACCCCGCTGATTGGCCCGAGTCGGCCATCTTGTCTGGAGCGTTCAATGAGTGGGGCGGAGCCCGGTGGGGCGCGCTGGCGGCGCTATTGCGCCGTTTTGTTCATGTTTCGCATCTCACGAACGCGGTAAAGGTGGGATGACGCAGCGTTTTTCGCTCGCTCCACAGCAGGTGATTTTTGAACTGTTTTGGATAATCTGGAAACTTTCTGAGACGGTAGTTAACTTTCGGTATTCGGAACAGCGTACCTATCACGTTTCTCGGCCACGATATAAATCAATCAACCCTGTGCAGTCTCTGTGGACGTCGCCGTTCGAGAATTGACGTCGATAGCGATCGTGCGTTCGAATTGCGAAGGTATTTTTTGCGATTTATCGTATTGTTCGATGTGATATACTCGGACTTGTGTTTGTTCGTTCGAAATCATCCCGTCGCGTGTTGTCCAATCGCTTCGTTCTCTTCTCCCGCGTCATTGGTGCGAAACCGCGAGCACGGGGAAACGTTCGTCGGTTGGCCGCACTGCGAAACTGTGCGACTTCAATGGTGATGTTGCGAATGGATCGCAGAGTCACGGTGTTTGCGCAGTTTGTTGCGTTTGTCTCGTTGAAGTGACCCGTCAAAACGTGTAAATACTGCAGACGCGTGATAATATTCAAAGAAAACTGCTTCGTTAGCTGCGGAGATTAACTCGACTGTAATCACCGGTGAGTTCATCTGATTGTCGTCAGAATTTGTCATTGTTTCCGAAGCGAGCTTTTCCGGAGATCGCGTGGCCTTCGAATCGAATATGGTCGATACGCGTAAATATGCAACGGTATATAACATATGCGGTTTTACGTTCCCTCGAGTTGTTTTTGTTCGCTCGCGCGGATCGTCGCGAAAATTCGCGATTTTTGTCAGTCACTCCGATCGGATTGATTGAACGATTCGTTTGAAGCACCGAAATCTGTTTGCAGGCAACATGGAGGTGCCTGTGTTTACGGAGGAAGTCGCGCAACAGCTGAAATCATTCGCCCGACTATGCATGGACAATCCGTCTCTTCTCCACGATCCGGCGCTTTACTTCGTCAAGGAGTTGATCGAATACTTCGGCGGCAAGATACCTGACAAATGTAGCACAAGTTCGCCGCAGTCGAAAAGCGAAGAGAGTCCGAAGGAAGAAGAGCCGAAACCTGAATCGGAACCGGTACCGGAACCGGAACCGGAACCGGAGAGCGAAGAGAGCGACTTGGAGTTGGACATGACCGGTGTAATCGGTTTGTATATTTTTTAAAATCTTTTTTTTTTTTTTAAGGTTGTGAGCTATTTGCGTATTATTTCGTGCGATAAATACATAACGATACGATGTTTCTTAATTTTGTTCAGAACCGGATCAGGATCCCCCTCAAAAAATGGGAAATCCGACCTTGCAACCCACGGAGGAGGAGATCGAAGAGTCGCAGGCAAAGAGATCCGAGGCGGTCTCGGCGTTCATGGAGAAGAATTACGAGAAAGCCATACAACTTTACACCGAAGCCATAGTTTTGAATCCACAATCTCCGATCTTGTACGCCAAACGCGGTCAGGTCTACCTCCTGTTGAATAAACCGAACGCTTGCATTCGCGACTGCGACCGTGCTGTAGAACTGAATCCGGACAGTGCGGCGGCTCACAAATTCAGAGGACGAGCTTACCATCTGCTCGGAAAGTTCGAGGAAGCTGCGAACGATCTGAGACTAGCCTGCAAGTTCGATTTCGACGAGCAAGCGGACGAGTGGCTGCGCGAGACTACACCCAACGTGAGTAAAGTTTCATTTTTCTTCACGAGGAAATGCGTCGCTGCTTGCATGTGCGATGCATCTTTCTCTGCATGCTGCCGTAGAACTTTGTGTCGTTAACAGTTTTAAGATGCGTATATGTTGTGAAAAAAATAAAATAAAATAAAAGAGATTTAACACTCGCACAGAGGCTTTTTCTGAAAACGGAGAAACATCGTTTCTCTTGTCAGAAAAGAATGCACGGCAGTTTTAATGAATGCACTCTTCGGGGCAAAAGGCAAATGTCAATTATTTGCACTTCAAATCGCTAAGTATTTTTCCAACGCGTTTCCGCGAACGTTTGTACAGTCTTGTCTCTATATAAAAAACGAAGAGATGTTTGGTTCGTGTATTTTATCGACTTGCAAATGTGTGAACGACGATTATATTTAGATACGAAATAAGGTATAATCGCATGTACACATGTATATGTACACAAACAGCAATCGTATATAACACACGTTCTTATTTGAAAACGTACACACACATTTGCCTAATTATTATATAAAGTAAATTTCCCGTAATAATTACGTTTCCTATCTACCTTATCCTAAGTACACAAGAGAGAGTGCATATCTTAAAATCTTATTCTAACTAAAGTAGATTTGTTTTTGTTTTTTTTTTTGTTTTTTTTTGTTTTTGTTTTTTTTCGGCAACACATGTGTATTTGTATAACAATATTGAAATAGCTCGACGTAATCTTAGCAATAAGTAGGATAACGAATAGCGTCAACAACGTCGGTTGTAGTATAACAACAATGATATAGTGTCAATAATACACATTTAATTGCTGGATAAATTGCGTGTTTGTCACGATTATTTTATCTCGCTGATAAATTAATCTCGCATTGTTTGTCTCGTGTGTTTGAGATTCGCGATACGGAGCGCAACGTTGTATTTTCAACGTTGTGTTTTGCGTCTGAACAAGATTAGCAAAATACGATTTCGAAACATGCGCAAACGGAAAACAAAGTAAAGAGACGATAGATTTAAAGATACAAGTAATTCTCAAAGATCAAGGTTGAAATTTATTCGACGATTATTTTGTTTTTGTCGATTGAGAATTTTTATTTGAGGCGACTTCGAATATTCGCATAAACTTTGTTTATGGATTTGGGAATAGAAAAACATTCAAGAATCTCGGACTTTGAGCAATTAAAATTTTAAGATTCGAAAAAGTAAACCGCGTAGATTCAGTACGTGTGGTAAGGAGCCAAAAAGAAAGAAGCTTAACAGCGTGCGTGCGTTTCTAAAGACGTATGTGTATTCTGAGACGGAGATTCGAATCTCCAATAGTCTTGAATAAATAAACACTACGACCGGTCTTCGCGCGTTAACGACAGAGCAACGCGCGAGAGATCAGAATATAATTCGTTAATCGTTTTAATTGCACATTTTAATAAGAACACAAATCAGTTTATATAAGGTATATTCCACAAAAGCCACAAGAAGAGATCATCTCGTCTCTTTGTTTTTTTTATTTCCTTTTTTTTTGTTACGCAATGGAAATATTTCGGTATGGATTATAGCTTTTTTGACGTGTTCCTCTCGGGAGGAACACTCGAACGGCCAGCAATCGGCCGCGATTGTTTTTTTGAACGTTACGCTCGATTCTTCAGAGAGTTTGTCTTCTTTTTCAAGATAAGCTTAATCAGCAAACACCGATTCGTCGCGAGACAAACGCGAATTTCGAGACTCGAGATGCAACGGCGGTTCGATCTATTTCTATATTCTCGCGCAAAAAATTAATCGAGTTCGCAAGATTGTTGGTTCAATCACGCGTTTGTTTTTGTTAAATTCGAATCTATTTTACATTTTAATTAAATTTCTTCACAGATTTAAATTATATTAAATCGTTTATCGAGTTCGAAGAATTTGAGATGTTGAGTAAAAAGGAAATAAAACAAATTGGATTTGTTTTTTTTCATCTCTCGGAGAGAGACTTCAAAATTATTGGAAATAAATTCGAACGAACGTTTTTATGTTTTGCGCGAGAAAGATAAGATCGACCGCCGTCGCACTCGAAGCCTCAAATCTTCGCCGAGAAAGAGAGAGAGAGAGAGAGGAACCGATATCTGAACACATACATTCGAAGGGAACTCTCACACTGTGTCCGTTTATGGATCGGAATGGTAGCACTCGTATTGTTTCACCGCAGACACAAGCGCGACACTCGCTCATCCTTTGCGCGACCGAGGAGGATTATTATCCGCTCGAACTCGTGATACCACACACTCCGCGTCGTGTTCTCTGGCTCTTGTGTCGGAGACAGAGACGAGATTATTCGGATCCGCTCGCGATTCTCGTTTCACACTCGGATGCACTCCCCGCTTTCGCTTTGTGAGCTTTCTTCAGCTTCTTTCGCGAATCGACCTCTCATTCATCTTTGTTGCATCTGTCGAATTGCGATGCGAGAGGTAGCGCGATCCCAGCTGGAGCCCTGAGTTTCGGGAAGAAAGTCCCTCGGTACCATCTCAAGGATCGGACCGGTTGTTTATTTTTTTTTCTTTTTCCCACCTTTCTTCGATCGTTCCCGACCTTCGCGCTACCGAGGTTTCTTTTTCTCGGTCTAGCGAAGGTCGCGCGACAACGGCCTCTTCAGTCAAGTCCGTGCTCCTCACATGGTATCAAGAGCTCCGTTCCAGAACGCGGACGGACTCACGGCGGCGCACCTCTCAACTCGGCGGGCTGTTGCCCTCGTTCTCGTGCAGCACCGCCTCCACGGACTTCTTGTACTTGCCCACGAGCTCGGGCAGATCGTACGCGATCGCCACGTCAAGCCTGTTGATCGGACAGCCGCGGAAGTACGTGCAAGTGGAGCTCAGCAGCGGGAAGTCGTAGAGCGAATTCAGCCGGAAGAAGTCGCGGTAAACGTCCGGGTCGGGCAGATCGTAGCGCGATATGTTGGTCAGCGTGCTCAGACCCTCGTAGATGTGATAGTCTTGCGGGTTTTCGATTATCTTCTCGCTGATCTCCCGCTTGTTGCCGAAGAACGTCTTGTGATTGTAGTACGTCGTCAAGTAGCAGTCCACCATCTTCGCGTGGTTGCGCACTCGTACCTAGATTCAAAGTTTTATTGCATTTTGGTTAAAATTTTTTTTTAACATTTGAGGATTTTTGGAGTTTGCTTGAATTGAGTCGGGTTTTGTAATAAATTGTTTTTTTAATATTCGGAATTTCTAAAAAAGGAAGTCGCTATTTGTCGAGTCGAGTTTTATCGTATTTTAGTAAATTATTTTTTCTTTAATATTCGGAACAGAGTTTATGTGATGAAATCTGACTGAACTTACGGCGAATCTTCTGGCGCTCGCTATCTTGTGCTCGACCCTCTTGTTGATCGCGGTTCGTAAATCGCGAAGAAATGCGCGTTCTTGAGCGTACAGCAATCTGGTGGGTGCGCCAGCTTCGTAGGGCAGTGACCACAACGACGTGGAGTACATTATCGGCGGTTCTGCGCTCGACATCAGCGGCGATATATTCCAGATCAGGGCGCCCTGCACCCTCATGAGCTCCTCGGGCTTCACCTGATCGGCTTTGTTGAGAATGATACGGGTCTGTTTCGAAAGTTTATCGTAATCATCAGAATTGAGATCGAACTCCTCGCCGATACTTCTCATTATTTAACATGTTCTCGTTGTCTCTTACTTGATATTCTCTTCCCTTCAACTGGTCGAGAATCGCTTCGGTCTCGGGCCCGACGTCCAACTTGGCGGGATCGTAGACCAAAAATATGATGTCCGCTCGATCGATGAACCACTGACACGCGTCGTTGAAGGGAAACAAGCGTTGCACTTGTTTGCGTATTTCCAGAATTCCGGGAATCTCGACGATGTTCACCTGATGAAAGAGAACAAAAATCCCAGAAAGAGAAACCCTCCCTCGCATTTAACTTTCACTGATTTTTTTCCCGCAACTAATGTGTTTTCAGCGCGCAATTTGAGGATTCGTAAATTGTAATTGTTTATTGCAATTTGTTTTTTTTTTTTTTTTACCTTCTCCAGCAATGTTTTGTTAAGTCGCATGCCTCTGAGACGATCCAGCAGACCCTGACCGAACTTCTGCAGCCCCGAGAAGGTCCAGTCGGCGGCCAGCTGAGTGCCGTCGAGCACCTCCTCCTCCTCGCCGTGCATTATTATGTTGAAGTACGCCGGGGACGGCTCGGCTCCTGTGTCAGTTTTTCCAGTTGGCGATTTGCAACGCTCCTCTAAGCACTCTCTCAAACCACCTAAACACTATCTCTAAATTCATGCTTTTTCTAGCTTTCATGCTTTCTACGTAGCTTAGAGCCTGCCGGCTGCTTTGTGAGAGCAAAGCCAAAATAACGAAAAAACCGTATTAAACGTAACGCGCAATTCAATTTTACGCACCCGTCCTAAGGGCTATTGGTGTGTATTCGATATCGAGTAGGTAATTGATGATCGATGACTTTCCGCCGCTCCAGGGACCCAGAAAGAGCACCAGAGGCTTGGAGAATATCTCGGGATCTAATAATGGGAATAATCGTCAGTCGAGCATTAAAAAAAAAAATTGTTGTTTTAAGATTATTTTCAAAATAATGAAGAATTAGTAATTTTATATATTTTTTTTATTAGTTTTTAATTCTTTTCTTTTAGTTGTAAATGTAGGTTCGAGTTTTACGTGTTTTATTATTGAAAATATAAGTAAATTAAATAATTTAAGTTAAGATAAAAATTAATAATCGAATAATATAATCGCGTTTTCGAATTACGAAACGTTTCCGCAAGATCGCTCACCTCCGAAGTGTCTGTTGCTCAAATCCCTGTACTTGTACATGGTCTCTAGCGGTTTTATGGCGTTATCGTAGAGCCTCTTCAGATCTCTAAGAATGATATCGGCCTCTCTTTGTATGGCTCGCTCCTTTTCCTCGTTCTCCTCGTCCAGTTTTAGCAGTTGATTAATGTGATCCCTGGGTCGAAGGTTCTCCGGTATCTCGATTTCCTGAATCAAATCCTCCTCCGGTGTGGGTTCGTGTTCTTCCTCGCTTACGGCTGATGTAACGCAATTATATCACGAGTAATTAGTTATCATTATTGCGCACAACTGTATTATGTTATAACACAATGTCTAACACAATGAAATTAGATTCCGTTTTACCTCCCTCCGTGGATTCATCGCCCGCTTCAGCCCCTTCTTCGCCTTCCGCTTCTCGTCTTCCGCGCGATTTCGCCTCCTCGTCTTCTTCCTCGGATTTGGCTCCTTCCTCCTCTGCAGATTTTGCTTCTTCTTCAGACTTAGTTTCTTGTTCCTCCGCAGATTTGACTTCTTCTTCCGCGGATTTCGCTTCCTCTTCCGTCGTAGCCTCTTCCGCGGATTTCGCTTCCTCTTCCGTCGTAGCCTCTTCCGCGGATTTCGCTTCCTCTTCCGCCGAAGCCTCTTCCGCGGATTTCGCTTCCTCTTCCGCCGTAGCCTCTTCCGCGGATTTCGTTTCCTCTTCCGCCGTAGCCTCTTCCGCCGTAGCCTCTTCCGCGGATTTTGTTTCTTCTTCCGCCGTAGCCTCTTCCGCGGATTTCGTTTCTTCTTCCGCCGTAGCCTCTTCCGCGGATTTCGTTTCTTCTTCCGCCGTAGCCTCTTCCGCGGATTTACCTTCCTCCTCTTCGGCAGACTTCGTTTCTTCGTCTACGTCTTCCGAACCCGCGTCTTCCGCGCTCTCTTTTTCCTTCTCTTCATCCCCAGCCTCGGCGCTCTGCGCTTCCTCCTCGGTTTTTCCTTCATCACTCACCGCCTGATCCTCGGTCGACTCAGCGCCTTCCTCGGCGCCTTTACTATCGTCTCCTTCTTCCGCTACTTCTTCAACGCTAGCTTCCGCAGACGCTTGCTGAGCCTCCGCCTCTTCCTTGGACTCGACTCCCGCGTCTTCGGTGGTTTCTTTGGATTCACCTTGCTCCTCCTCCTCCTCGCCCTCGGTTTTCGATTCCTCCCCTTTGTCTTCCTCGGATTTCGTTTCGTCTACTGTCGCCTCCTCGGATTTCTCTTCCTGCGCTTGTTCGTCGGATTTCTCCTCGCTGGGCTTCTCACCCTCCTCTTCGGATTTCGCTCCCTCTTCTTCGCTTTCGGTCACCTTCTCGGCTGAGTCGGGCTGTTCTCCTCCCTCGCTTTCGGTCGCTTCGGCGGATGCGTCTTTTGCCTCCTCTGTTTCTCCTGTGAGAACAATAGTGTGCAACACATCTTTCTTCGATATATCCTTAAAAATTCCAAGCATTTTTGATCAAAGCATCAATAAGCTTTTTACCTTCCTGAGAAGCTTCAGCGGTCGCGGCTTCCTCGCTTTGTTCGGTTTCCTCTTGTTCGGATTCTGCTTCCGCCTTTTCCTCGCTGGCTTGTTCCTCGGTCGCTTCCTTGCTTTCTTCGGCGGTCGCTTCAGCACCTTCCTCTATCGATCCTTCCTCGCCCGTGGCCTCGCCTTCTTCTTTCGAAACTTCGTCTGCTGCCTTGTCAGCCTGTAAGACATTTTTTGTACGAATCTTCACGGAGTATTTTGGAACACTCCGTGCATTGTAAAATTAAGTTCAATGACGGACAGTTTTGTAAAGATGAGATACTTCGAGATTTAATTAACTTATAAAAATTAATTAAAATTAATTTTAATTAATTGAAGACCTTACTTCTTCGGTCGCAGGAGACCCTTCCTCATGGCTCTCTTGACCGATCTCGGCTCCGACCTCTGCACTGGTCTCTTCCAAAGATCCTTCAAACGAAATATTCTAGAAATCGCTGTGTTCCAGCCGAGTACTTCGCCATCATCTAGTATTACCTGTGCCGAGGCCCTTGAGCGCCTTCTCGATGTACGGTCGACATAAGTCCTCGGACGGTATCCGTTCCAGCTCGTCCTCGCTTTGCACTCCTGCGAGTCATTTTCAAACAATTGACGTGTGTTTTTAGGAAAAAATCTTCAAAGAAGACCAGAGTTTCTCAGTCAAAGAAGATTAGAATAATTTAAAATTATTATTTTTTTTGTTTCATTTTTTTGTACGTCTGTTTTTGCAAGACTTAAAGAATTGCTGAAGATTTTCTCCAAGAAAATTCGAATAACGTTATTCTCGCACACTGGGAGATGCATTTTCTGCAGATTTCTCGTGTGAATCGGGCGCACGTGTTCGGGTTCGTGTTTCGCGACCGCGATTATTCATCCGTCGATATTTATCCGTCAACGGTTCACCCGATATTCGCGATATCGGGTGGCCGACGAGAACGATCCGCCACAACGGTTTTCGCCGAGATGAGATATTTACATTGTTCGCGTTTCATCCGGCTGCCAGAAATTGTCGGACAGCATCAAAATTCCCGTTGCGTGTATGAAACGCGCGATCGGTGCCAAAAGAAATCCGTGCGCGCGGTATTAGATAACTAATCCCATTGCGACGTGCGCGGTGAGTTTAACGCCACGCGACGCGACCACCAACCCCCGAAAATATCTGACCCAGGTGACGCAAGAACTTGTCAAAGTCATTACGCACTATTCAGGAGAGAAAGAGAGAGAGAGAGAGAGGAGAGAGAAAGAGCGAATACCACACACACGGTGACAGGTGTTCAGAAACGCAACTTGTCATTTCGAGTGTGTGACGAAAGATTCGCCGAACGTCAGACGCGCGCAGCAAATCGAATCGTGCGGGATCTCGAATGGAATTTCCGTTCTCTTGTCGAACAACTGATTTTTTGTAGAAAATTGTTTTTTTTTTTTCGGAATTGATAAAAAACGAAAGACACAATAACTCTTTGAACAATTAAAAAAAAAAAAAAAACTGAAGAGTTTCGGATGTAAAAGCGATCGCAATCTGTTTGCGAGCGAGAAGAGACTGTGCGCGTTGAATCTTAAACCGTAGAACAATATAACAATCTTCTTTGGGAATTTAATTTAACAAGCGCGTTATTAATGCGAAGAAACACGAGAACGGCGGAATTTCGACCGAAGTTAAACGTCGATATCATCTTTCTAGGCGCGTACCTGGGACGCGGCCGGCTTTTCTAAGTTTAGCGGCGGGTAGGCGGCTTTGAGCCGGAGACTCAGAAATATTTATATATTAGGCGAGCGAATATCGTATTTTTATCGTGTCTCCGCTTACGAAGTAAAATATATATGTATATACGAGTTGATTGGTTAATTACGTGTGAAATTCCGACGAATTCTGATGACAAAGTATTGTTTAAATATAATCAGTCGAACCGCGCGCGATTTGAATTTCGTACATGGAGAAAAAAAAATACCAAAGAAGAACGAAGAAAGAATCTATTGTGAATTTTTTAATTCGTTTAAAACTTTCTATTTTAACTTTTTATTTTTTGAAGTTTTTTTTTTACATATAGAAAAAATTCGAATTTTGTTTTTTTCTTCTCGCACGAAAATGTTCGGAATCGTAATCTGCGAAATAAAAGAAGACTCTCGCACCCTGTGCCAATTTGGTTCGGCACAGCTGTTCGAGGTTTTGGACGCCGCCGCTAGTTACTCGTCAGATAGCGGGAATCATTGTAGTTTTACGAGGTCACGTGATGGAGTGCGTAAACACGAGAAGTTTCGTTTCACGGAGTATATTACCTCGATATTTTTGCTATATCTCATCGTTATATCACATATCGCAATTTCTGGCACGAATCTTCGATTCTCTGTCGCTCGCGCAGCTTCTGCCGAATGTTTTCGCTTTTTTTTCTCGAAACACATTCGATAACTTTTCTCATCTTGGAGCATTAGAGCGTGTTTATCTCTTTCTCTCTCTCTCTCGTCGCTAAAGCGGCGAACTTTTGTTTCGATGTTAGCGACAGTAGGAGAAAAAAGGATATGATTGATCGGATCAGTGCTATCGATTTCGAAATTGCGATTTTCTGACGCTGATTTTTGGAAAAATTCAGATTTCATCCTGACTCTCGTCGAGAGATTTCTCCGTTTCCGAAGAATCCGCGTTGCTCCTGTCGAAGTAATGCGATAATGCAACGAATTTTGCGTTACGAATGATAGAACGAGATGTACACAGGCAGCTGTCGTTTGGCACGCGCAGCTGCGTCGGATAAAGATAGAACCTCCGCAAGTCTTGTTCCTTATAGTCTACGCTATATGTATAGCGTTTTGTCGCGTTTAGTTGTAAGAAGTTGTTTTTTTTTCTTTTTGTAAATCGCGAAAGAAAATTCGATTTCAGTCTGAAACGAGCGCGCGATCTTCCGCGCGATTTTATTCGCATTTTTACTTCGCACGTTTTCTCGACGGGTTTTTTTCGAAAAATCCGTTCTTCGGAATCGCTTCCGACAGGTACACGGAAATCGGACGTTCGATTGTCGCGCGACATCGACATCGGGGAAATGAAGATTCAATTCGTTCGCGTTCGCGCGGATGATTGTGCAGTCGGAAAATAAATTGAGAATCGAGTTCGCGAACTCGAAGTTTGTAATTAGAACAATTCGCGTTTTCTTCGGGGACTTTGAAAACGAGGCTGGCACGGATTTTATGCGGTTTCTTATGTAATTATCGCGCGGGTTGATGACAGCCAACTCCCATCGATTCCCAAAATAACAAATCCTTGAATCAACATTCGGGACTTTTATTTAAGCTCTCCGGGACGCGCGTCGCTGGGCGCCTCTTCAGTCGTCAGCGACATAAATCATGCGGCTGTTGCGAAAAGCGAAATATGTTTATCTCGAAATTCAAAATATTTCGAATAATCAAATTACAATATTTCGTACAACTGATTTTATTTTAATTGTGAGGCAAATTTTTCGGACTTGCCAAACAATATTTAATTTTTAAATATTGCATTAAGCGAATTACTCGATTAATAGAAAATACAAAAACTTGCTGAAAAAACTAAATCAGATGCAAGGATATAAAACATGCAAGAATCCAATTTTGTATGTAAAAAAAGTTATCAAATTATTTAATTAGAATTCTCAATGATACTCAAATGATGAGCCGAATCGTCGATGCGCGTAGAAGCTAGAAAGCTATTGGGGGTTGATGACGCGCACTTTACGTAACATTGACCTTCGTATTTGTCAATCGTCACAGCTTCTCGTCAACGTCTCATCCTCTCATTGTCACGTCGACAATCGACGTTAATCGCCGGTTTTTCTATTTTTCTTTCGTTACGACAATCCATCCCGTTTGTTCTCATCTTTTTGTTTGTTCTCAATTTACTTCTCACATTTGCATTCACGCCAATCGATTTTTCGACGACATATCTTCGCATCGGTAGTAAAACCTTCGAAACGAACTTGATTGGAGAATGAGACGTCGATCGGAAACGAAATATCGACAAGACGGAGTTGTACTTGACGCGGTTTCACTGATCGCGAGAGACCACGCGGGGGGACGTTGGAAAATTCGCTGCGGAGTTTCAGGTCGTCGATTTTACTGACCTTGTAAGGCGACGGCTAGAAGGCCCAGGAGGAGGCCCACGGCGAGCGCGGGTCTCATTCGCGCACCCGTCATCATCCCGTCGCACTAGACACTACCGCGGTCGGCCGGGGCCAGGGTTCTGGCGCGCACACAGCTCGGTCCTCTTTTCTCTCTCACTTCTCGATCCCGTCGTCGCCCTCGGCTCCGACTAGCCCGCGAGGCACTGGCATTGTCACTATCGCCAAACCCCGAGAACGCCCCTCTCTTCTACTTCTCTCGCTTCTTCTTTTCGCCTCTTCTTCTTCGAGACGACGGTCGTCGTCGTCGTCGCGGTCGTCGGTTTTTCTTACCTCCACCACCTCGTTGTCATCGGTATTCCCCCCCCCCTCCCTCTTCTCTGGACCACGCGAGGAACTTCCGACGGATACGGAAGTTTGTGTGTATGTGCCGTCGCTCTTGTTCGAGCAGCAGCTCCGCTATATCGAGTGCGTCATTAAAACGCCGCGACCAGAGTCAACCCGCGATCGACAGCTGCAAGGGCTTGTCTATTGGCGAGTGTGTGCGCCACTCGCTTCAGCGATATTTGACGCGTTTGGCCCTCCGCGTCCGAAACGGTCCACCACTAATTCGGTCAACACCCGACAACGATGACGGATTTTGATCAAGGTCTTTATTTCTTCCTACCTGACGGTCTGACGTAGAACGAAAAACGCGTAATGTTTCGTGGACAAGGGAGGGAAGGGTGTCTCGGTGATGAACCGAGCGACGCGGTTCTTATTTTTACGAAGATGCAACGTAGATCAAGGTCGTCCGTTTCATCGACGGATCGAAATAGGTTTGATGCAACGTTTTGAGACGCGACCTCGTGGTTTCATTTATTTTTGAGAAAATTCAGTTTAGATATTTATCTTCCAGTACTTTTCTATGTGGATTATCCTTGAAAGAAAAAAAAAGATATGCAAAGTTTTCCATCAGCCTCGAGCAATTTAAAAATCTAGAAAGAGATACTGTGTGTGTTTTAATTTTCCGCCCGCGGCAAATTTGAAAAAAGAAAAGTGGACCGTTTCGGAAATTGTTATCTCCCAAATTTAAGGATGAACCGTATTTCGCATTACTTCAGATAAGAGACCAGAAGATACGCAATCAAGCGTGAATTAGTAAAATTTAGATTGTGTTGTTTATTTAAACGTGTTTTTGATATTCGTAGGGAATATTCCGCGATTTCTTGTTTTAACGACTCTCTTTTTCTCTCTCTCTCTCTCTCTCTCTCTCTCTCTCTCTTTTAAAATTAACACCGTGGTTAGAAAATTTCGTCGATTATATCGTCGCGCGAGTAAAAATATCTCGACGGTCCGGTGCTCGTCGCGCGAGATTGCAATCTAGAGACAAGCGGGCCAGGTAAACCGCGTCTTGATCTCGCCTCGCTACTAAACGAACGTCACATCTCGCTAACCTCACCCTCTCGTTGTAGTTTCTACCGCCACCTACCCGATTTTTTTTTTTTTTTTATTCATGACGAAAGCATGTCATCGTCTATTTTCTACCGGTTGCGCGCTTTCCATCGTCCGCCGAACTGTGTGTGTGTGTGTATGTATGTTTGTCGAGATCCGGGAAAGCGCTCGGATGTGCTAGAATCGTCTTTTCCTCCTCGCTTTTTTTTTAAGCGAGGAGGAAAAGTCGGTTTGACAAAACTTTGAGGAAATATTGATTTTTAAAATTCGATGATTAATTTATCGCGCGCGAAGAGGAAGAGGATCAAAATTCGCTCCGCTCCGAAGCGAGCGGACCGAATTGCGACGCTTTTGTAGGGAAGAGAGATGAGATTCACCGCAAAATACGCGTGCACAGACGCAGAGAGGATCGTCAGAACCGCGGCGCCTTTATATTTAGAAGCTCGGGTCGCGCCCGTATAAGGTGGCCTGCCGTGCAAAAGTCCTCTCTTTCCCTCTCTCTGTCTGTCTCTCTTTCTCTCTCTCTCTCCCTTCGCTCTCTCTTTTTTTTTTTTTTTTTTCGGAAGATAAAACTTTCGCGAGGAGATGAATTTACGTTCGATGATGTCGCACACTTGACGCGGGAAAAATAACAATTAATTTTTCTCGCTCCTGGCGACGATCGTAACAGTTTTAAAAAACGCACGCGTATTTGTGTATTTTATTAGAAAAATTAATTTCTCTTTGAATTAAAATTTGTTGTTGCACGTGCGAAAAGAGAACGTTTTGATTTTAAACTCTCTGCGACTTGACAAAAACGGTTGTTCTCCAAAGCTTTGTTATTTCAAATAGATATTAATTGCTCTTGGGAAAAATGTTCATTTCATGCGTGTGTATATTTGCCAAAATCAATTCGTCGATATTTCGTCCGTCTCGACCGGAGGAATTTTCGCGTTGTTATTATTCAATTCTCGATGTTCGATAATTCCGCGCGATTGCGTTCCGCCGATTTGTATGACGAGCGAATTAATTAACATTTATGTATCGCGCAACGCTCTCTTTCTCTCTCTCGTTTCTTCCTTTCTTTCTGTGAAACACAGCGGGATTACGAACATCGACGAGTGGAAATGGACCGTTTCGCGATCTATAATAAGCTCGTTAATTGCTCGCGCTCTCACAATATGTCCACCACTTCGGCCGGGCGGTGTTTCGCGTCATTATAATTTAGAGTTTTTGGACGCGGTCCTAAAGACCCCCTCGTACGAGTAGCTCTTTTTTTTTCGCGAGGATTGCGGGGAACGCCCTACTTTGCTTACGCCTATGTTTAGACCGAATTTTGCGCACTTGTCGTCAAGTTCACATCAGCTTCGCGATCTCATGTAACTCACGCAAGTGCCGTTTTAAAGCGCTCTTTTTTTTTCCCTCTCCCCTCACTTGTGTGTCTCTCTTTGTAACAGTATTGTATTCCCAATGCACGTCCTCGACCTGTTTTTTCACGCATGTACAAGCAAGTTTGGCTTTTTGGTGTGCAAACTAACGTTAGGTAAGGAATTAATCTCGAAAAGACGCGCGAGAGGATATATATGTACATAAATATATTACGTGAGACAATTGCAAATTGCCACATTAGGCCCGAAAGATAGAGGAACACAAGAGGAAGAAGGAGCGAAAGGTGCAGGAGAAATTGGAACGCGAGAGGCACGAGAGATTGCAAAAAGCGCAAGAGGCCGCCAAAGCTCGCGCGGAAAACACGCGGACTTCGCAGACGGACGGGGACTCGCAGTTCGGCAGAGAGGGAGAGTTCTACCGATTCCTCAAAGATCCCGATGTGATTGAGGCGTTCCGGGTGAGTGAGAGAAAGTTCAATCTCTCTCGGGAGAGTGAGAGTATTTACTCAAACACAGACAAAAGTCGTCTGCTCTCTCTTCGAAAGTATCCAGACGCGTTGATTTGTTTTGTCAGAATTAATTAATACATACTCGCATTTATTTCACGCGAGTTTAAATTTGTAATTAATTTACACGAACTTTTCGAGTTTCTCGATCGCGACGATATTCGATTTGCTTGAATATTCCGAATTTTTTTTCAGTTGCGAGAGACAATTAGACGATAAATATAAAGATTTCAATACGAGAAATTAAGTTTAATTGAACGTGCAATTGTGTCGATATGATTGCGACAATTTTCGCGAATGTCTCACGCGACACGACGCTCATTACCTCTCTCTCTCTTACCTGCAAACCTACAGGATCCGTCAGTGGCGGAGGCCTTCAAGGATATCTCGACGAATCCGACGAACATACTCAAGTACCAGAACAATCCCAAGGTAATGGCTCTCATTAATAAGATGGCCACGAGATTCGGCGGCGCCGGCGGCATGCCGGGTGGAATGAATTTCCCCGGCGGTATGCCCGGTTTCCCCGGCGCCGGCACGGGACGTCCCAACCCCCCGGCGGGTCCCCAAGACGATTGCGGTCTCGACTAAACGCCACCGGACTCCCGCGACAAATCCAGCTGGGAACGCGTCGCATTTTGATTTAGTTGACTCATTAAAGGCTGATTTATGATATACGTATAATTTTAGTTTCTCACGTCGATAAGTTGCACTAAATAAAAGGAAGAAAGGGAATTTAACGATGCGTAATAGATTAATCTCAGGATGTGTCAACCTAGGAACGTGTCGAATATTCAACACGTTCAACGTCCAGAAATCGGATAATTGGTTTCTACGAGAATTAAATCATCAGTCGTAAAACAGCTCTCTTTACTAACAAATTAATCGAGAAACAAGGATCTTGAGAGCCGAACACTGAATATACGTGCGAAACGTATATATTTCCAAACGCGTGGACTAACACATGACAATTTGAACTGAAATTCAATTCGAAAATTTTCATGTTTAAAAAAATACGTTTCCCATATATCTTTAGTGTTTGGTTCTTAAAAAAAGTCGTTGTTTCTTAGTTCGATACCTCATCATATATTAGTTTTGTACGATATATAAAAATTGTTGCTGTTTTATAATCCTGCAAATTATTCGCAAAAGTTGTTTTGCTTGGATGGCTAAAACCACAGCAACAGAAAGGCAACGGGAGAACTTGCTCAGATATACGTGTTGAGTTGCGTACCTTCGTAATTTTCAGTCCGACTTGAAGCTTCTCACATTGTATTTTTTTAATCTTTACATACAGGTGTGCGCTCAACTCTGTTTTTCAATCGAAGAATATATATACATGCGTAAGATTACAAATACGGAATTAAGAAAAGAATTATTACAGTCGAATTACATTGTCTGCTAATTTACATTTTAAAAATATTTTGCACTCTGGCTCTCTTAACGATCCTCAGTGCTCTTTTCTTATTCAAATAAGATAATGTTATTCGTCTCGAAGGTGTAACGGACGCCTTTAATGAGTTAAAAAAAAGCGTTATTCTAAGTTTATATCTCTCTCGCTTTATATATGTATATGGAATATATATTATGTAAGGTCAAGATACATAGCATGTAACAGTCTGTATCCTCGAAAGAACGTTCTATTGTGAATCAATATAGTTTGTTATACATACACACACAGAGCGCTATTCGTTTTTTTTTTCTTTTTTTTTTTTTTTTTTTTTTTTTTTTTTTTTTTTTTTTTTTTTTTTTTTTTTTAATGACAATATTTGTCACTCGTTTGCTGTAATTTTACCGCCTAATGTCCTTTTTTGTTCTCGTCAGTGGCTTATTACCAGGTGTGTTCGAAGTAACAAGATCGACGTTTTACACGTAAGTATTGTTTATTTACTTGGCTACATTTAATTTCAGTTTGTTAATTATTTTGTTTATGTAAACATTTACACACATTACTGTTAGAGAAGAAATAACAAATCGAAGATTAATCTCGCGAAAATAATTTTGGAAATTTACTTACCGAAGAGCAATTGTCGTTTGATTTAAAAAAAAAAAAACGATGATTGTCAAACGATTCTTCGGGCGACTGTCGAACGTGGCTTCGTCCGAGAGAGAGATGCAATAGGATAAAATAAAAGACCACGAAGAACGTTGCGCGCGAAATAGACACGAACTTTGTCTCTCTCACGTTGAAGCACTCGTAAAATATGCATGTAATATGCAACTTGGTGTTCCGAAGGGAGTTCAGCAGCGGAACTCTCTCTCCATTTGTCAGAATTAAATCTCGAGTAAGAGCTCCATAAATCAAGTCTTTATTACGCGACGCATACGCGATAATTGATCAAAAGAATGCCGGCGGTGTTGTTATTATTGCCTCTTTGTAATTGCGCTGTCGCAATTAACGTTCGCGAAACAATCATTAGTGAGCGAGAACGCAATTTCGAGAACGCAGAGGGATTTAAGATTCTCTCTCGAATTTATAATACACGAACGATCGATTTTGTGCACATGTGTGTGTGTATGTGTGTATGTGCGCGCGCGCGTGTGGTTGATGAAAATAAAATATAAGTAAAATCGAATGAAAATAAGAGTAATATCGTGCTTCGTAAGATCGACGATTGAAATTTTCTTTTAATAGGATTTATATGAACATTTATAAACACATTTATACGCACGATAAAATGACTTCGACGCGAATTTTCTCGCGTACGTGAAATTGAAATTAAATAAAAGTTGAAATTAAGTTAAAAGATGTGTAAACGATGAGGTAGAGCGAAAATATAGGGAACACACATTTTAGAAGGTTTACATCCAATATATTTATCCAGATATAAGCAGAGTTATATAACGTCGGATTATTATATTCCAATAAACGGAGTTCCACCGAGGATTCTGTGTGTTATCCTGTCAGATCCATATATAAAATGTTTGCAATAAATATGTACAAAAATATATTACGCTCGCGAGTAATAATTACAAATTCTCTCTCTCTCTCTCTTTCACTCTTTTTCACACTTTCTTTCTTTCTCTCTCTCTCTCTTTCATTTTGTGTTAAGTATTAAGAATAGAAAGCATTGCATTGTTCTTGCGAACGCAATGCAATCCCGATGGCTCTCGCGATTAGAGACGACGGGGGAGGGGAAAATTGTTATCGTCGTCCGTTCGTTTAAACGCGATTGTTAATTTGTACACTATTACATATGGATAGCGTGAACTTAGAATCTAGAAATATTGCACGTGAAAAACCGAAAAAAAAAAAAAACGAGAGATGTGTGTCGCGCACTCGCGGAAGACGGAGTCCTTGCACGAACAGGAAGAGCGTCTCGCTTCAGACACGGAGAGATTAGAAACGGAATCTGGTCGTTGTCGCGCGTTGAGGCAACGAACGCGATTCGCGTGGATCCGAATTATATGTGGAACCTTTTTTTTGCACTTTTTTCTTTTGTAAAAAAAACAAATTAGTCCGTCACGATTGCAGAGGCGAGTGAAAAGCGCGACAGATCGATAAAAATCCGCGCGTTAGAATCTAAAACAAGAAAATATCGAAGAAAACCTGACAGTGTAAAAATTTTTTAGAAAGTAATTTCTCCGCCTCTTCAAGAGGTTACTCTGTTTCGAAGAAAAATCAGTTGAATTTTTTTTTTTTTTTTTTTTTTTTTTTTTTTTTCGAGACTTTCGCTCTTCGTCACATAATCACTACGTTCTTCTGAGCATATGCAAATTGGGGTGCCATGGCACTTTCCTGAAGGTCGACGCTCTCGTGTCCTCCTCGGGCGACAAATTGTCTTCGTTGGCCTCGTCGATCGACGCTCGCATGAGGTCGGCGCTGCCGCTCAGCACGCGTCTATGTCGCGTCGTGTCCGTTCGCATGTCGGCGTTCCAACCACCGGGATCGCTCAACACTCGACGGTGTCGTCTGTCGCGATGACGGTGGTGATGATGGTGGTGGTGGTGGTGACGTTGGCAATGGTGATGACGGTGGTGGCGTTGCTCGGTCGCCAACGACGCGTTGCACTCCAGACTCGATAGACGGACGGGTAAAATGGGATTCGGGTCCAGGTACAACCAGCTCGCGCTGTCCACGTACGGGAGAAGATGCATCGCGTCCAGCGACAGCGAATTCGGATACAGCAGCCGCTTGTAAGCGTATCCGTTGTCTGCGGTTTCCAGCATCAGTCTCCTGGGACAGCGAAGATCTTGCGCGTCGGGACGTGGTCTGTCGAGGGATTACGTACGATCACGTGATTGGATAAAAACATGCAGATAAATTTTCTCGTAAAAAAGAATAAAGAGACATTAAGATAAACGTTTCAATGAACCTGCACGAAAGTCTGCGCGAGATTCCGCGTTGTCAGTTGAGAGGATGCTCCCCGCGCGACGTTCGGTAGCACTTGTTCCACGCCTCCAGCAGCAGCACGCAACTGTGGAACCTGTAGAAGATCAGCAACGGCAGTCCGATCCTCGACAGCACGCCCCAGGCGAGAACGCCGAAGAAACGCAGCTGCAGCTCCTGCGACAGCCAGTTCTGCGTGATGACGGTGTCGAAGGCCCAGAGCACGGCGTTGCTGAACAGCAGGAAGGTGATCACCTGGCGGCCGGGTTTCGCCAGCATCTGGAAGCGCGTGATACACGAGCGGCGGGACGTCTCGGCGATCAGCGTGCTCTGCGCGAAGCACTGCACCAGTTGTAGAATCGACGTCGACAGCAGCATGATGTGTCGCGCCCGGGTGTCTTCTGTCTCGTTCTGATCCGACATCGCCAGCGAGCACGCGCACACCACGATGGTGAAGACCGAGTAGAGCTGCACCCCGAAGAGCGACACGTTCGACAGGAGATTGTCCAGAGCGGCCGGCGCTCTCGTCACCACGGAGATCTGGCGCACCTGCACCAGGCCGCTCGCGGTCATTAGACTGCTCAGCGTCAGGATGCCGATGAGGGTGCCGCACGTGAGCCAGGACAGCGTGGCGGACGGGAAGTTCTCGTCCTCCCGCACCACGAGGAAGATGAGAATCACCACGATGCCGGCGACCATGCAGAGAATACCCAAGAAAAGACCCTTGCTGGAACCGTCGCAGCCCACCCGGGTGTGACTGCTGAGATCCTTGCTGCCGTGGAATTTTTGCTTGACCAGCCGACTCCGCCCGACGTTCTGACCCATTACGAAGGTCACCGCCGCTGCGATCAGACTGGAAAACGCGTATTCGTGAAAATTAGAAATAACATTCGCGCGAAAATTTTACGGGGAAGTAACGTACCTAAATTGCACGATAAAAGGATATAGGAAGGGCATGCTCGACGTCCACAGTTGTCCCAACGTGTTGGTGTTAAGACATTCCTGCAGCGCGATGACTTGCGAGATTTGCTCGTTCGAAACGGGCTGATAGGGCTTGAACGTCTTCGTTGCTGTCTCTTCTGAAACAAACGAATTGTTTTTTTTCAATCGATCACAATGAGAGAAGCTTATATTGTCTAGAAGACACGCTACCTGTCAGATCTCGCGACTGTCTTGTCAGAGATCCGGGAAATCCTCGTAGATTCAACGGAGACACCGACGTTTCTTGTTCGTGCTGCGCCAGATGCACGAAGTACGTCCACTCTTGCGCGGAATCCCAAATCACCAGACGCGCCCAGACCGCGACATTAGTAGCTGCGAGATGCGTGAAGCCGAATCTGGCCGCCAGACCGAAGCGCTCGACGAGAACCTAAACAATCGCGGAGATAAATAAGAATTTTATATTATACTAGCACAACACAGGCGCGCGCTACGCGCACGCTATTGTTATTTTTGTTTAACGTGTTGTCAGTGAACACAATCTGTCACCGCGATGACAGATAGTATATACGTCTTATAAACCATATAATACACACATGAGAAATGTCAGAAATAACGCATGAAAATCAAACTCAAAAAATAGTGAGAGAGAGAAGTGGAAAAACAACACGTGACAAAGAAAAGGGTAAAAAAGAGAATATTATATATATTATATGTAAATATTCTATATCTATATATAATACACACACATACGCATAAATGTATATA